TTGCTTAAAAATATAAATTTTGTGTTTATATAAAGAAAATAGTACAAATCTATCTATAAATGAGAGTATTGAAGGAGAACTAGAAACCCCTACCTCAATGATCAAGCAATATAAATTTACAAATAGATTATTGTTTAACACTTGTTATGTTAATCCTTGTTGAAATTTGTAGCAATTTACAAGTTGGAGTCAAGCTGATTCCTTGTCTTCACTTGTTGAAATTTGTAGCAATTTACAAGTAGGCTAGACCGAGATCACCGTTTAAACACTTGTTGAAACTTGAGAAAAAGTTTGCAAAGTTAACATTGAGTAGTATATGTTTCACACTTGTTAGAATTTATGAAAAGATTGCAGGTCAGTATCTTGCCGAAGTAAAAGTTTTGTAGCTATTATACCCGAGGTATGTAACCCCGAGGAGATTGCACAGTTAAAGGTATATGTTGAAGGCGGGCGTATGACTCAGGTCTGCAGAATACTAAAAGCTCACTTAGAAGATCTGATGAGGCAAGGCAATCTGAAGGGACCTCGTCGATGAGACCAGAACAAGGGAAGAACAGGCAAAACTGCCTCGGGCGCCAGCAGCTCCGCCTCCCCCAGCACAACAACCTCAGACAGGAAGACCTCGGGTAATTATTGTAATTCACTCGAGGGTCAATGAGAACGAAATTAGGGGGGAGACTCAGAAGGTGAAAGCACCTGCAACATGTCTACCAAGTCGGGGACAAGAGACATCGGGCAGATGAATGCTTGGGACCAGTAATGTCTTATACCGAAGCCGACCTCGAGATGGTCCAGCACCCGCATAATGATGCTTTGGTAGTATCCCTCCAGATTGGGGAGTGTCAAGTGAAATGTATCCTGATTGACCAAGGAAGCTCTTGTGACATCATGTATATCCGATGTTACAAGGAGCTCGGCCTTCATCTAGACGATATGGAGCAACCCAATGGCCTAATGGTTGGGTTCAATGGAACGCCGACATGGCCACTGAGAGCAGTAAGCTTGGAGGTGCAGGCTGGCACCAGAAAGATCACAACAGAATTCACCATCATCGACACTCCATCTCCTTACAAAACTTGGGAAGATCATGGTTGCATTCAATGGGGGCAGTTCCCTCAACATTGCATCAACTACTGTGGTTCCCAACAGAACATGGGATTGAAGAAGTCAGAGGAGATCAACTACATACGGAGAATTGCTCTATGGCAACAATGAAATCCACCAGCAGCATTCGAGAACTAGATAAGGCAGAGATTGAAAACGAGGACATAGAGGAACTAGATGATGTCGGCAAGGAGCCAGCCAAAAAGAGTAAAGAGACACTGAAGAAAATCCTCGTCTAGGAGGGCGACGAAGAGCGCTTCATTCAGAGAAGGAGAGTTGAATTAGACATTGAAGAACAAGGAGGCACATCGGCCATATGCAGAGCTTACATTATCTAAAGAACAAAAAGGTACAAGAGTACAAGCGACAAAAAAAGGAAAAACTTCAAAAACTGAGATCATGCTTAATCGAAGTTAAGCCGAGATGATGTTTAACCGAAGTTAAACTGAGGTGATGTTTAACTGAAGTTAAACTAAGATGATACTTGACCGAAGTTAAACCGAAATGATGTTTAACACTTGTTGAAATTCTGAGAGAATTTACAAGCTAAAGAGTGCACAAAGTTAAATGTCGGCAAAAGATTCGCCAGAGTCAAACGTCGTTTTGATTAGAACCACTAAGTGCACGCCAGAAGTGGTGACCAGAATTGTGAAAGGAATAAATGCTTCAAGAAACAGCGATGATAGTTTGCAAAGGCCAAGAGAAAGAGGGTCTAAAGGGGGTGAATTAAATACCAGAATTTTTAATACATCGGCGAAAGAAGAACACATCAGGTCTGTGACTACAGCACGAAGCCCACTTCCCTAATGTGATCCTAAGTACAACTTGCGTTCACATTAGGGGGCAGGGAGAAGGTGTGGGGGGAAAGAATGATAATTAAGGAGCAAGGAATGTTAACACTTGTTGAAATTTTTGAGCAAATTACAAAATAAGTTAACCGAAGATTATGAAGTCTACCACTTGTTGAAATTTGTAGCAATTTACAAGTTTGGTATATAGCCGAGATAACACTGAAAGACATTTCTAAGATATGATCAACCGAGATAACCAACTAGCTTGTTAAGAGCTGAGAAGGTTGGCAAGTACAAAAATAAAGACCTTAAAGAACTAGGGACTGAAAGCAAGAACGTCGGACTAATCTGCTTCAACAGACGACAATGGTTCAGCCTCGGCAGTCAGTTGGAGGAGCTTCTCTACCGCTACCTCGGCATCAATTTCAAGAAGGAAGCAAACTACTCGGCATCAGCGGTAGGTTGTGTCTCACCCCCAGAAGACAGTTGGAAAGAACTTCTCAGCAGCCTTCTCAGCCACGAGCTCAGCATCAACCTCCTGAAGAGTTTGATCAAAGCTCTTCTTGGCAATTGGCACCTCGGAGTTTTGAAAGCAAGGATTGAAAGCAAAAATCTGGGAAAAGACACAGAAAACAGAAACAAGAATGTAATTCGTAATCAAGAATGGTGATGAAGCTATCAGGAAATCAAAACAAAAAGATTGCACAAGTGTGTCAAGCCAAGAACAGTGGCAGACATCAACAGATGTGTGAACAATGTGTATTAAAGAAGATGATTTGGAAACAATGGGTAAAACAGCAATGGTGATTAACAATGAAGCAGAGCTTCTTGGAAAGCAACAAAAAATAAAACCAGGAGGAAAAGTGTCTTACCAGAAAGAGGGAAGCTTGAATGAGAATTGCCAAAGTCTGACGACTGATGCGAAAATAACAGAATCACATAAGCTTCACCGGAGGAGAGGAACGAAGACAGTTGCAGAAGCTTGAAAGCTTGGAACAATGATGGATATAAGCAAAAGCGCTAGAAAGAGAAAAAGCCAGAGGATTAAATGAAACAAAAAGGAGAAGAATAGTCAAGAAGACGACAAAGTTCAAAAATAAAGCCAAGTACACAAGCACTAAGTAAGTATGTAAATAACAAGAAAGTAATGAACCAGACATGATGCTAACAACAGAAAGCGGATATGACAAAGAACAGTTCCAGGCATTTTAGCAATAAGAAATCAAAAACTTGAAGACAGACAAAAATAGAAGGCAACAGAAGGCAAGTAAACAGAATCAGAAGAGTTATGAAAGATTGAGCTTAATAGCAAGTAAAGAGTTTATGAACCTACAAAGTGAAATGAACGCCGATATGAAAATCGCCGGAGTCAAATAGCTGATTGGAAATCGGGAACTCACCAGAGAGTGTGAGTAGAGCAGTTGCAAAGCTCTTGGAGTTTACGAATTAATGGAACCAGAACCTCGGCTAGGAGGTACGACTTCAAGCTGCTTAGAAAGCATGAAGCTTGATACTTGACAGAAGTGGACAGTAAAGTCTAGGGAACTTTGAGGTCGGCGAGTTTGATCTCAGACAGAGGGGCACAGATGAACGAACAGTGTAGGTTCCATCACCTCAGAATGCTGAGGTAATAGAACCTAGGGATAGTTGTGGGGATATATTTTCTAAGTACCAACACGTGGCAAGGTGACGTCGACGTGTCAGCCGAGGTGCCACATGTCTTGGTCGTTGTGCCGAGGTCATCTCGGCTAGGCCGAGGTTGCCTCCGAAGATATCGGAATCCGAGATAAGCGGATAAGGGACAAGAGTCCTAGAATGAAGAGGGAACTCAACTTGGATATGGACAAGAGTCCTAGATTGGGAGAAGACTTCAGTTTGGGTAAAGATAAGACTCTTAGAGAGTTTACGATTGTATTGGCTATAAAAGAGAGGCACCCCCATGGGTCTAAGGTATGCTTTTGATACTCAAACTTGTGAGTTTAGTATTTGATTTATCTTTGAGAGATATACTGAATTGATCGTCGGAGTGTCCCGGGTGGTCGAAACCACCGCGGGATTCTTATATTTCTGTTACAGGTCAGTTAGGTGCCATCTATTCTGCCAGTGCTCTCCAGCTGGTTACTAAGCGGGCAGTGTGGTCGGAAAATCACCCACACACTAATATAGTTAAAAAGTCAAAAATTTATTAAATGATTAAAAAAAAAGAAGTCAAAAATCATATAAATTAGTCAAAACTTAATTCATTCTCTATTTTTTTAAAGGTTTTTTCATAAAAAAATATCAAAAAGCCTTTTTTTAAGTACATCAATTTTTTCCACGTCGCAATTTAATCAAAAAACAAAACAAAAAAAAGTTACCACCCAAAAAAAAAATCACTTCACAACTAACCTAAATAAGTCAAAAAAAATATTGCAAGTGTGAGCAGAAGCAGCATGAGGAAGCAGCTTGGTTGCTGGGTTGGTTGGGAAATAGGGATACAGCCAAAAAATTAAAACAAAGAGCCAACCATATATAACGACTGAGGCCCGGGGCTGGCTGCTAACAGGAAACCGCGGCCTGGGGTCCATCTGAATAATGCCGTTTCACTCATCACTCTCTTCATTATTTGTGTCTATGCTTCATGAATTTCGATAGTAATTTAAGTGGGTATTTGAGAAGTAGTTATTTTAATAGATTATTTTAATTTTTGATTATTTTGATAAACTAAAATTTATGTATTTAGGAGAAATGATTAGATTTTTTTTATAATTCTATGTAATATTTGTGAGAAAAAAAGTGAAATGATTATGAATTTAATGTGATATTTTGTTTTATTGATTATTTTAATCTATTTTATCTTTTTGTGAATTTTAACTTAAATTAGACTAAAATTTCACTTCTCAAACAACTCTTAAAAAAAAAAAAAAAACCGAAACATGTTGATAAAATATAAATGAAATATAATTAAATTTTACATAAATTTTTTAAAATTTTTTATACAAATTTATACTTAAATTCATATGAATGAAATATAATTAAACTTTACATATATTTTTTTCATTTTCTTTTTTAAATTCACACCTGAATTCAAAAACCAAATGAAGTTATTTTGCACTGACCTTCTCAGCACAAGCCCAAAAAAAAAACATGCCGTACCTCTCTCTCTGCTCCAACATGTCTCCTCTGCTCTGCCTCTATTTCTTCTTCCTTTCCAAAATGTTTCAAATTTTTCTACTTGTGTTATGTTTCAAACGTTCAAATTTCATGTGGGTCTGTGTCCTTTGGCGCTTAAACGTCAGTTTGTCTGTTTTAATGGGTTTAAAGCCAAGTATTAAATTCAAGCTTCTTTGCATCTCAAACATTGAATGTTAGTTGAACCCCTCCCCGCCTGAGTTTGGGAGCTTTTGGGTGATCAACTTATCTTTTTTATGTGTTTGTACAATTTCTTCACTTTCTTTGCGTTTGAAGAATTGTTTTAATCTTCAATGGAGCAATAAGCCGACTTTTTAGAGTTAAGTTTACTTCCTAATTATTACCTATAAGATTTTCCTATTATTTTGTTAATATTGTAGAACTTCAAAACACTACACTAGCCTTTTGGACTTGCCTCCATCTATAAAAAAAAAAAAAAAAAAACCTTCTTTTGGACTTGCCAATTTTGAAGCAAAGTGAGAGAATGGGAAGAGCTTAGGTGCTATGGCTTTGAGTGATCATCTTGTCCTTTCGGTTTCTGGTGCCTCGAGATCCTTTGTTAATATTGTTTCTTCATTTCACATCTCTGTTTCTTGTGTGCCCATTATGTGTTTGTGCAATTTCTTCACTTGTTTTGGCCTTAAGAATGCTTCTTACTCTTCAATGAAACAATTCTGTTTTTTGGAATTTACTTTTTATTTGTTTGTGCAAGCCTATAAAATTTTCCCGTTGTTATATTAATATTATAGAACTTTTTGGACTTGCCGATTTGTGTAGCAAAGTGTGGAGCTCAGGTGCTATGGTTCTGAAGTATCTTGTTGAAGTTCAAGTGTAGGCAGGTGAGTGCTCGCTTGTTTTGTTGTGGTTTTGTTTTCTTCGCTTTTGTTTTGTTTTTTCTCGCGTTTGTAGGAACAAAAAACAACCAGAAGTTCGAGAATACCCATTGTTTTCATACCTTTTATTTTTGTACGAAACAGATTTTTGAAAATTCAAAAATAACTTCTCGGTGTTTTCTAAAAGAGAAATGCTATATATTACTAGTTTTTTGTCACCTCCTACATCAATGCTTATGATTGGATCCTTTGTTTTGAGATAATCATTAAGCAATTTCATGAATATAGTGATATAAAAGGATGAAAAAAAACAAGTAATATATATCAGCCCTCTTTCTTGAAATGGGATATTTTAAAAAAAACAATTCTCAAAACAGTTTTAAGAAACAGTTTGTCAAACAGGTTTTACAATCAAACACGGTATCTTTAGGGCCCGGGATTAGTCAAGGTGCGCAAAAGTTAGCCCGAACACCCGATTATAAAAAAAATTTAACAAAAACAAACAAACGGCTGGAAAGTATAAATGCTGAAGTTTATTCTAGAATGGAAAGGAGTATGAAGGAGCCTTTTTTACATTCCATAATGTTGTTGTTTGTACCTAAAGCAACGTTATGATGCAGTATGCAAATGAATTAGGACAAGCCCCTATTTTTGTCATTTGCGAAGTAGGGAGGAGGGAGGAAATTGTTGGAATGTGTCCCATATTGCCTGAAGTTGCCTCTTCTGTGTTGATTATAAGACTCTAGTTTTCCTCTCCTTAATATTTGGGTTTTAAGGAGAAGTGTGGGTTGGGCTTTTCAATTTGGTATCAGAGCTTGGTTAGGCTTGTGATTGATGTGCCGTTTGTCCGGCTACTGCATGTTGTGGTCCAGGAGGATGTGTTAGAATGTGTTCCACATCCCTTGGAGTTGCCCTCTCTATGTTGATTATAAGGCTCCAATTTTTCTCTCTTTAATACTTGGGTTTTTAAGAGAAGTGTGAGCTGGGCTTTGCAATTGAGATGTCTAGGAGGTGGGGGAAGGAGAGAGGGAGAGGAGGCGGCTGGGAGGTAGGGAAGGAAGGAAAGGGTGGCTGGTGGTAGTGGTTGGAGGGATTGTGGGTTTAGGGTCAAGGTTTTCTTTTGGAGAAGACAAGGGAGAAGATGAAGATAACTCTGATTTTGTTTTTTTGCCTTAAAAGATTGACTTCAATTAAATTTTTTCCTTCCCAACTCTCTTGAAAGGTACAGGAAGTATAATTTCTGTTAGTTTGTACGGAAAATGCAATGAGGGCAATTTAGTCCAAAACCACGTGGGGTTAATTAGGTATTTTTAAAAGACAAGGGGGTAAAGTGCTATCAGACCATATTACAGAGGACTGAAATGGATTTTTCCCTAAAGTCAATTACAAAGTGGAACCAAGGATATCAATTTCCTTGGAGACTCTGTCACAAAATGCTGTTCGATTCCTAATTTGACCTTCAAAACAGTTGTTTCTCATTTTTTTTCCTGTAGTGAAAATCATTGTCAAACCAACCATTATATGAAGAATCACAACTTTGACGCATTTTTTTCCAAATTTAATGCATAAAAAGTTTACTTGAGCATTAGTTATTTCTGCACTCATTTATTTAGTTTCTTTTTTCTTTATAAGATTCTCCATGAGCATAGAACAACAGTTTTCAATCTTTTTAATTTTTGTGTTGGTGGTATTTATCTCTTTCTTTGCAAATATATCTATGTTCTGTGGAGGTCATAGTCCAACTCCTTTATGACAACAATTGCTTAGGGGATTTTAGACATTATTCCATTGCCACCTCAAATAACTGTGTTGATGGCATTCTCATGATAAAAGGAGAAAACTTATGGGTTTCATGCTAACTAGTGTTTTAACATTATTACTTCTCGGATCCCTTATAAAAATGAATCCTACTTTGAAATATGGCCTTTGATAGGGCCGCGTGGAGAAGAAAGATTCATGTAGCCGACCCCATTTGATGGGACTTAAGGCTTGGTTTGGTTTGGTTTGGTTTGTGAGATCATTTGTGTGAAAATTTTCTTATTGTTGTAGGACTGGAGTACTCGTAAAATTGTGAAAGCAGCTTGAAAAATGGGGCTTTTAGATCTATTTTGTGTTGCTTCGATGCCTGTTTTGAAAGTACTCTTGATTACTGCTCTTGGCTCGTTCCTCACTTTAGATGGTATAGATGTATTGGGAGAGGATGCAATGAAACACTTGAATACGGTAAGTCGTTACATCTTGCATTTTGGTTTCATTAGTACACGTCTCCTATGTTTTTATACTGTGATAAAAGACACATAGAAAATAAAAAACATAGAAAAGTATTTTTTATTCATTTTCATTAAGTTGGATGAACTAACAATGCTTTTCCTTTGTAATCAGGTTGTATTTTTTGTGTTCAATCCAGCACTAGTTGGTAGCAACATAGCCAAAACAATTACTTTTGAAAGCGTTATTTTGTTGTGAGTTTAGTTTTGACCAATTGTCATTGTTCCGTTAACTTTTTGTGTGACTTATTTCTTTACTCAAATTGAACTTCTAATGTATTGCATAGGTGGTTCATGCCCCTCAATATTCTTATCACCTTTATTATTGGCTCAGCAATGGGATGGATACTCATAAAAATCACAAAAGCTCCTCAACATCTTAAGGGTCTTGTATTAGGTTCATGTGCAGCAGGTAGTTTTCTATCAAATTTTTCACATGTGCCCGAGTGTCAGACTGACACGTCTTCTTGTTAGGCGTTATCCACTGGCAAGCTAGGATGGATAGTATAGTTCTAATTCATTTTTCATTTTCCCACTCAATGAAGTTAGGCACTAACCAGATATAGTTCTTAGCGACTTATAAGACTGTTTTGAGTTTGGATCAATTCTTCCGACTCTACCATGTCTGTAGTCATATGAAGTTGATAGGAATATCTTCAACTCTTCTTACGTTTGCTATATCACAAAATTTTCATGTTCGATAAACTTCCCTAGTGAAGTTCTTACAACGTACATTTATATACTTCAATATTATTTTCTGCAACAAATACATACCATGAATAAATCCTTATTGAAATGCTAGAATTGTAAAGAAGGAAAGATCTCAAGAGCTCAAATTGCTTCAATTTTTTATTTATTTATTTATTATTATTGATTCCATTTATTTACTATTCAAATGTATGTTCAGTTGTATATTTAGTCTATATTCTCTCCAGCTGGCAAGTGGGTTTCTTCCATTGCGTCTATTAGTTGAAAGTACAAAACTGTCTTCACTAACAGATAATTTTACATGGACAACATTAAAGGATGGAAATATGTCTTTCTTTTGTTTAGAGAGAAGCTAAGGTGGTGTTTGGAAGAGTTTTGGAATTATGATTTGAGAATATAGTTGTATTTTGAGTTTGTGAATTTTGGAATTATGATTTGAGTGTGAAAATTTTGTTTGGTTAGAAGTTTTGAAAAGAGTTTTAAAAAGAGTTTGGAATTTTTGTTGTGACATGATATTTGATACAAAAACTTACAACTCATAACTAAACACGCAATTCAAAATTCTATTCAAAGCTTATAAAAAAATTTAAAAAATTTAGAATTTTTTTTATTTAAATATAAAAAATAACAGGTGCGAATTGTAAAAAAGAAAAAAGAAGTTAGCATGTTCTGGTCAACCGGCCGGCTGTCCGGGAGGACGATTGGCTAGCCCAAATTTTGCTGCCTTGGAAAGAGTTTTCAAAAGTGGGTGTGAAATTAATTTTTGAAAACTCTAAACAAACAAGACACTCAAAACAAGGAGTGGAAATATGTTTGGAGAAACTAACCAAACACAGCCTATTTGTACTCATGCCAAGGATTTTGCGCGTCAAATGAGGAAAAGCATCTAAAAAAAAAAAAAAAACACGAAGGGGGCAAGAGATGAGGAATTTATTTTATTTATGCATTGTAAAACTCAAATTCTATGTTCCTTATGCCATTCATTAATCCAAATAATAGGATCAGATGCCCGTATATCGTATTCAATGCAATCAAGTGACAATATGGTTTACACATGCATCACGCTCCTTGAAAAACACGGGATTTTGAACAATATGCAAAACACATAGTGTTCCATGTCACAATGTAGCTGGGATTATCTGCTATGTTGTTCTGAATAGCGTAACATACTGCCCTCAGATGTATGTGGCTTAAAATTGAAATGATGTGGTGACAAAAGTATCATGTACTTGCAATGGGTATCAATTGGCCTTTTAACACAACAGTGAGAACTTTTGATTTGATCTAAACAGGAAATTTGGGAAACTTGCCTCTGATTATCATCCCAGCAATATGTAGAGAGAAAGGCAGTCCATTTGGAGCACCTGATACATGCCACATTTATGGACTTGCTTATGCTTCACTTTCTATGGCGGTATGCATCTAATTAGCTTCGAATGACATCCAACAAATTGATATCATCAAACAAATAAAGAATGAGAAATTCATACACTTGATTTGAAAGAAAAAGAGCGCTCATAAACACACATATCATTCTCTGTGCCTTCTAGTAAAAACTTAATGCATTATCTATCCATTCTAGCTTGTTATGACTGGTTGTGCAGAGCATGAACTAAATTTATTAGTTAGTCTAACTATTTCATGTTTTGATTCTTCAGATAGCATCCGTTTATTTGTGGTCTTATGTTTACAACATTATCCGAATGTCCTCAAGTAATATCAGCAAAGAAGTGATTTACACAAACAAGTCCACTGAGAATGCAAAACATACTGACGAAATATCAGAAACACACCAAGGAAATTGTGCAGAAACACTTCTTCCTTCAGAAGACTGCTCCTCTATAGACTATTTCACCTTGCCTCATAGTAAAATTGATGGCAAAGGAAAGGTTGTTTTCAACTTTTCGCTTACTAGAAAATAACCCTCTATGATTTGGAACAGCTTTTATGTTTTCCTTCGTGCTAGTGCATGATCATCATGATATGAGCAATATATCACACATTATGATTCTTGTGTATTAAATATGAAAAAGAAATAAAATAAAATCTTTCTTAGTGATTAGGGGTTCCAAGAAGTAAAAATGCCAACCCACTCTAAATAACATCATGTGCAGGCATTGTAGAACTTAATTTTCACATTAAAAGCTCATCGTGATGTCAAAAGTTTGTTGTGTGTGACAGTTCAACATCCTGACTGTTAATCTTCAATGCAACGATGAAGTTTTTCTTGTTCCTTTACTTTTTTGTTTTATTTTTCCTCGTATTGTTTCAAACCTAATATTTTGGTCTACCAACTCCATAATTTTCGTAGACTATCCTTTAATCAACTTTTCAACTAAGTCTAGAACCATCTATTTTGTTTCTGTATTATGAAACCCTATTTTACATTTCTACTGTTCTATGTTGATAGGTGATGAGTTCTTTTCTCATTTACTCTATCCATTTTCTTTTTCTTTTTTTTGTTTCCCTCATACATCAATTGAATATAAGAAGAGGGAAATATGTTTGAGATGGGATGGTCATGTGCAGTGTAGACCAATTAACACCACTTTAAGGTGGAGTGATTGATCCATGTGGAGGGTGGTAAATGAAACAGATAAAGGGCTAGGAGAACTTGGGTTGAGGTGATCAGACAGAACTTGACTATTTTAAACTTAATTGAGGATATGACTTCAAATCTGAACAACTGGAGGAAAGGATCCATGTAGCCAACCCCCAAATAATTAGGACAAAGGCTTGTTGAGTTGAGCTTAATAACTGACTGTTGTGTAATTCATATGTGAGGTAAATGACCGAGGAATAAGTGAAATATTAGTTAATGGAGCTCTTATCAAAGAAATTAGGCACTATCCTATTTATTGTAGCAGTATTGTGAGTTCATATTTATTGAGATTTGATGACTAAATTCTTATAACATGCATATTTAAGGTGACTACTTTGTCTATTTATTTATCGAACTAGTATGAACATGAATATTGTAAAATAGATGGTGTAAATAATGTAGTGATTTAACTATTTTTACGATTTCTTAACAGGTCCCAGTCTCAATAAAGATTATGCAGCATTTGAGAATGTTACAGGGAAAGATTAATCTGAAAGCATTGTTTGCACCTTCGAGTACTGGAGCGGTAACCTCTATTTTAGTTTTTTATTTTTATTTTAGTACAAACTACAAAAGGAAGTGCTAGACATGTCTTTACAGAACTATCTTGTCGAATGTACTATTTTAATTATCCTGTCTGAACAGGGTTACCTCTATCATGTGAAACTATTGGTTATATGACAATTTGATATCAAATTTGATGCTGAGATGATTTTTTATTTTAAATGCAATGCAACAATGCCATGCTGAGGGACCTCAAGTTAACGAACGTGTTGTTCTCTTGTGTAGATTGTTGGTTTTATCATTGGAATAGTCCCACAGCTGCGAAATTCAATGATTGGGGATGCTGCTCCACTTCGTGTGATCCAAGACTCTGCTGCCTTACTAGGGTATACAGTACACACCCGACCTGCATACTTTGTTTAGCTTCTGATAAGTTAGGGGCGTTTGAATTTACCATTTGCATCTTAGTTCTGAGATTTCTGAAAATCATATTAGAAACCAGAAAAAGAAACATAGAGAAAGACTGTTTTGAATTTATCATTTTCATGCTACTGTTTTCAGTATGTTGTGTACCATTTTACCTTCTGCAGCAAGAACAACTACATGATTGTAGGTGTCATGGATGGGCACGGGTATTTATGGCAATCTTAAAATACCAAGGTGCTAAATGAAAATTGAGATGTATTTTCAGCATGCATACAATCTCACTATATGTTAAGATGACTGTAAGGTCTACAATGGCCTTGTTTGGGAAATGGCTACTTTTTTGGCTTTTTAGCTATTTGACTATTTTAGTAGGCTATTTTAGTTTTTATGTTTGGGAAGTTGGGTTGAATTTTTTGCTTGATTGTTGTATTGAAAAATGTGTTCGAAATGATGTTTGATGCTAAAATGACAAATTTGTCCCTAACCTCACTTTTTCCAAAATTGGTCTAAAGGGGCAAAATTGTCATTTACTACCTGTGGGACAGCTTGCCAACATGACAGTGGTAGGCTGTCAGTGCATTGTCAACGTGACAGTGTAGGCTGCCACTGCTGAGCTGCTTTTTTTTAAAAAATATAAATCATTGGTTTAGGGTACTATTTGAGGCTATTTGGTTTTTTTAGCTCAAACTTGGATTCCCAAACAAGGCCAATATATAAACGGTTATTTTTTTACTGGACAAATGATCAGGGATTACCTGTAATCTAATAAGAGTATTATAATATTCTTGAGAAACCCATAAAAAATAAGCAGCATTTTTCTTTTTTGTGTATTCTCGCTTTGGGTGGATTTTTGGGCTTTTGGGTACACCTCCATAGGGGTTCTTGAAATGCCTAGAATTGAGGAAAATTGACTTGACCCAAACAATATTTGTTTCTGGAGCCCCTTTTTTTTTTTTTCTTTTTTTCCTTTTTATCAAGAGAGTTTTTATATGAACTTTTGTTGTACTTCTCCATGTTATTAGTTCCTTGCACACTAGATCAATATCCCCATGGACACCATTTTCTCAACTTCATACTGTGTTAATGTATATTACCCTTCTGGCTTGGTTAGTCCTGTATATTGAGTTGATTTGGCATCTAGGAAGATAGAGTCATATAAATATGTTGATTGAATCTTATATATGGCCTCAACCAAGCCTTATGTCTAATCTCCTTAAATATCACTTTTTCTGCCAATTATTTCTCCCCATTTTCAAATTCATTATAACATGGTCTTGCATGTTCGCTACTCTTCCTTTTATCTAATTTGCAGGGATTCAGCAATCCCAACTGTCACCTTGATAGTGGGAGGAAACCTACTTAAAGGTAATTGAACATTCCTATATGCAAGGTGTTGCTTAGTTGGTTTTTGGTCTCATGCTGGCTTAGAAGATTTTTTTACTAGATGGTAGATCTTGTTTTTCAGGCTTAAGAGGTTCTGGAATTCAGTTGTCACTCATTGTAGGAATTGTTGCTGTTCGGTACATTTTCCTGCCTCTGTTGGGCATCATCGTTGTTAAAGGGGCAATCCATTTTGGTCTGGTGCACTCGGATCCACTATATCAGTTCATTCTTCTAATACAGTTTGCACTTCCACCAGCCATTAACATAGGTATGATAATTATAATGTTTTTGAGTAGTCAATTTTTGTCAGCTTGATTTTGTAGACCGAGTTATATTTTGAAACTATTGCCTTTGGTGAAAAGCTGTTTGGTTGTGTTCTCATTTTTTGTTTTTGTTTTTTGAGTTTTCGGAAACAAAATAATGATGAGTTCAAAAACACCAGTTTCTTTCATTTGTGCGAAATTTGTTTTTGAAAATTCGAAAACAGCTTTTTGAGTTTTCTAAAAAGTGGTTTACTTTTAGAATTTTTTTTTCCCAAACTGATTTCAGAAAAAAATCGTAAGTGTGCTTTTGAAAAGAATAAAAATAGAGATTTATAATTGTTTGGTTGTGTTTTCATTTCCGAAACTTGTTTGGTAAGTTGTTTTCGACAACGGTTTTGAAGAAAATTTTCTAAAAGCAACCTACGTTTTAAGAAACACCAAAAAGTTTATTGAATTTTCAAAAATGGTTATTTTGCACAAAAATAAAAAAACGATGAGTATTTTCGAATTTTTCATTGTTTATGTTTTGAAAAACACAAAAAAACAAAAATGAAGAAAACAAAAACACAACCAAATAGAAACCACTACTACTTTCTCTATTTGTTTAGTATATGTTACATTAAAAAACATTCCCCATGTTGAAATTGGCAGGCACAATGACCCAATTATTTGGAGTGGGGGAGAGTGAATGTTCTGTTATTTTGCTATGGACATATGGATTGGCATCAGTTTCACTCACTCTCTGGTCAACCTTCTTCATGTGGCTAGTTTCTTGATTTCCATCTCTTCTTCACAGCCAGTGTGACAGAGCACATGGAAGGGCCTCACATACTGTATTAATAATTCTCTCATTCAGCTGTGTTTTTTATTTTATTTTATTTATTTTAATCCATCCACATTCACGTTTTTTTCCCCTTCATTCTCTGTAACTCATTGTTGAGTTATCCATTATGAATTGCAGCAATCTGTTTTGGAAACCTTTTTGACACAAACCAGAGGTGACATGTTTTGAGTGCTGTGAACAGGGGATTGGGATTACAAGGTGATGGCTGTTATTAACATGATCTCACAATTTACATGTATTTTTTTGGGAATTATTATTCAACTCCATTTGTTAAAAAACATTTTAAAATTAATTGGACAACGAAAAAAAATTTCATTTTTATGATGATATAAGTCTATCGTGTGTGAGTTGCAAGTTCTTTCTTTTGTAAGATGCAAGTCCTTTCTTGTGCACTCAAAAATTTCGTATAAAATATAATTATTTTTGAACTATCCAATTAAAATGTTATTTTTCCTTTTAAAATTTGCCTCTACTGCCAAAATTAGATGTCAAATTAAATGTCACAAAGCAATTTTCAATGGGGATTTATGGTGAGAGATCCTTCAATCTCAATTTTTCTTGCAAAAAGTAAATAGAAATTTTTTATTTATTAAAGACAATTATTAAAATATAATGAAAATATGACAAAATTATCCTAATTGAAATTTTATTAGTCTCGTCATCTACTGTCTCATAGCACCGTTACTATGACCTCTAACGGTCGATAATGACCTTTGATAATTGTTTTTCAGTCATTAGTCACTGATAATTTTTCAACAAACATTTTTTTAAGTGAATCTCTAATAGCATTTTTCGACGACGACAACCACCACCACTATTACCACACCACCATCACTTAATTATATCATTCAAAATTAATAAATTTATATTTATCATTTTATCTTTCTGCTTTATTATTGCAGATAAGAAATTTGTGTGTACAACTACATACTTCCAAATTTACCCATCTTCACCACGTATCTCTACTATCAAAACACATTCGGTCATTTGTTGTACGGAATAAGTTAACCATTAAATCACTACTATAAAAGGAAATAAAGATGGCCATGATGATAGAGATTGATAGTGGTTTGAAGCGTAAGAAATGGTTTTGGAAAATATAATTTTTCTTAACTTTGATCTGTTTTTTAGGTCAGACCTATATGTCAAAGTTGGCCAGTCTAAGTAGTAACGTGTTCTATGTCGCGTTGTGATTCACGTAGTATATGTGGGTGCTCACAACCATTATTGGGTGAATGGGATATTGAAGCCAAAGAGAGTTCTATGGAAATGGTGTTTTTGGTGAAATTTTATAAAATGTTTGGTTTAAGGCTTGTCCCATATTGATTTGGTGGATAAACTTGAGTGGGTTTATAAGGTTTGAGTTTGGAACTTGAAGTAGGCCTCAACGGGCACCCAAGTTTTATAGGGGGAGGCTATGGGAAAAGTGAGCTAGACCCATTGGACCCAAAATAAATACGCTGCCATCCATCCAGGCTAGGCTTGGGTGCAGATACATGGTATGAGGTTGGGTTGGGCTCGTCCGACCTAGTACCTCTTTTTTTTGGCCAAAAACATTAGAATTTAATTTTTATTTTTTGGTAAAATAAAATTTGTCAAGAATTCGAAATTAATTCCGAAATCTATCCAGTTTTCTCTTCACCCAAACAGGTCTATATTTGGCCAATATAAACCGGACAGATTCAAATCTGTTTAAATTTCAAACCCAAACAGTTCGTATCTGTTGAAACAGTGCCTTACCTATTCAAATTCAAACCATACTTGTTGGATTTAAATCTGTACAGTCACTTTTACATCTATAAATAGGCAGTCCCTTACTTGGTTTTTTCACTTAATTTTCGTTCCAAATTCTGCCTGCTCTCTCTGTGCTTTGTTTCATTAATTTTCTGTGAGAAAGAGTACAAAGTGTGTTCGTTGTGCGAATAATTTGTAGTGCTGCTATTATTCGCAGTTGATCATTTTATCCTGAGAGAGAGACGTCTACAATCTGAAAGCACCATGGAGAGGACGAATCTGTCTTAAGGACATAGTGTTAAACACTGGACTTGATCAAAATTTTATTCAATAAATACATAAAGTTAGTAATTAATTTACTTTCTATTTTATTATTTTTCTGTTTCAGATTTTGATTTTGTTTTGTAACAAAATAAAGTTTTGTTTTTATTTATATATTTATTTTTTATATTCTGGTTTGATTTTTGTAATCAAATAATCTTTTTACTTTTTTTATTTATTCTGTTTGTTGTTAAGTACACAAACATAATTTATTCATAATACAGTGAAGATTGTCTATAAATCTTAAGATAGATTTTTTTTGGTGTCTTTATTGTATTTATTTTCTATCCTTTTTACAAAGTGATATTCTAGTTAGAAAATACAAATAGTAGTCATATACTGTTTGACAAATAATAGTAATATACTGTTTATTTTCTTTGACAACTAGTAGTAACATACTAGTGTCATTAACAATTTCATAATATTATTTTGTATAATAGTGTTACAGAAAATTATTGTGTAGTACTTTATTTTCTTGGTTTTAGTAATTAGAAAAATAAAATTATTTTGTGTTATAATTTATTTTCTGGTTTGAGTAATTAGAAAATTAATTTGTATTTTGATTTTTTTGATTTTTGCAATCAGATATTATGGCTGTTGAAAGTAATACTCCAAATCCGATTGTTACAACGACTCCAGTCCCTATCCAGAACTATGTTCAAGTTTCAATAAGTTAAGGAGAAAAACCAGAAAAATTTAATGGCACCGAATTTAAGAGATGGCAACAGAAAATGATATTCTATCATACAACTCTAAATTTGGCTCGATTTCTCCGTGAAGAGGTTTCAATACTTAGAGAGGATGAAAGTGATCGGCAAATTATTGTCGCTATAGATGCGTGGAAACATTCTAATTTTCTGTGCAGAAACTACATCCTCAATGGCCTTGACAACATGCTGTATAATGTTTACAGCCCTCTAAAAATAGCAAAAGAATTGTGGGATTCTTTGGAGAAAAAATAGAAGACAGAGGATGTGGGCACAAAGAAATTTGTTGTCGGTAAATTTCTGGACTTCGTTATGATAGACTCCCAAACGGTAATTTATAAAGTTCAAAATTTTCAATTAATTTTGCATGATATTCATTCTGAAGGTATGTTTCTTAGCGAGTCTTTCCAAGTTATTGCTTTAGTGGAAAAGTTACCACCGGCTTGGAAAAATTTCAAAAATTATTTAAAACATAAACATAGGGCGATGACCATGGATGAATTGATTGTAAGACTAAGAATTGAGGAAGATAACCGTAAGGCTAAAAAGAGGAATGGTAAAAATTCCATTGAGTCCGAGGCTAATGTAGTTGAACAAGTGCACAAATTACATAACAAAAAGAGGAAGTTTGTTGGAAATGGTCCTTAACAAGGCGACAACAATGACAATAAGAAATTCAAAGGAAAGTGCTATAACTGTGGCAAGACCGGACATCGAGCTTCTAATTGCCGCCGCCCTAAGAAGGATCGCGGAAGTACAAGCAAGAAGACCACTAATCAAACCAATGTGACAGAATTAGATTATAGCTCTGACGAGGTAAATGACATCAATTTATTTGCTATGGTGTCTGAGGTTAATTTGATTAGAAATCCCAAGGAATTGTGGGTTGACACTGGGACAACTAGTCATATTTGTGCGGACAAGAAAATGTTTACAACTTACAATGAAGCTGTAAATGGTGAACAACTTTTCATGGGAAATTCTTCTATTTCTACTGTGGCTGGACAAGGAAAGGCGATCTTGAAGATGACATCAAGGAAGGAACTTACCCTCAACAATGTACTGCATGTATCAGACATTCGGAAGAATTTAGTTTCTGGTTCTTTGTTAAGTAAAAATGATTTTAAGCTTGTATTTGAGTTTGATAAATTTGTATTAACAAAGAGTAGTATGTATGTTGGTAAGGGATACATGAGTGATGGTCTCTTCAAGTTGAATGTAATGACGGTTATACCAAAACTTGCTATTAATAAGAATAACACATCTTTTGCTTATATTCTTGAGTCAAATTTATGGCATGGTAGATTAGGACATGTAAATTTTGATACTTTGTGTAGATTAATTAGTTTGGATTATATATCAAAGTTTGAAATTGATCATAATCACAAATGTGAAATTTGTGTAGAAGTGAAACTAACTAAGGTTCCATTTAAATCGGTTGAAAAAAAAAACTGAACCTCTAGAATTAATTCATATAGATGTATGTGATCTAAAGTTTGTTCAAACTAGAGGAGGCAAAAAGTATTTCATAACATTTATCGATGATTGCACAAGATATTGTTATGTATACTTACTTAAAAGTAAAGACGAAGCCTTAGAAATGTTTAAACTCTACAAAACTGAAGTTGAAAATCAACTTGGTAAAACCATTAAAATGGTTAGAAGTGATATGGGTGGTGAATATGATGCACCTTTAAATGAATTTTGTGCACAACATGGTATTATTCACCAAACCACAGTACCCTATTCTCCACAGCAAAATGAAATTGCTGAAAGAAAGAATAGAACCCTTAAAGAAATGACGAATGCTATGTTACTAAGTTCAGGCTTACTGCAGAACTTGTGGGGAGAAGCAACATTGTTTGCTAATTATGTTCTTAACAGAATACCCTACAAGAAAACTAATAGCACTCCTTATAAATTTTGAAAAAATCAACCACCTTCCTACAAATACTTAAAGGTGTGAGGGTGTTTGGCAAAGGTAGAAGTTCATGTTCCGAAAAAGACTAAGATATGACCAAAAATAGTGGATTGTGTGTTTATTGGTTATGCTCAGCATAGTAGTGCATATCGGTTTCTGACTTATAATTCAGAAATACCTGATATAAATGTGAACACTATTCTAGAGTCAAGGAATGCTGGGTTTTTTGAACATGTTTTTCCTTACAAGAAATTACAGGAATTAAGTTCACAGAAAATAACTTATGATTGTACACAAAGTCAAGAGACTAATGACAATCAAACCGAAGAGACTAGTAATGGTCTTGACCAATAGGATTTAACTGATGGTGAACTAAGACGAAGTAAGAGAGCTAGAACATCAAAATCCTTTGGTCTAGATTTTCTGACATACCTATTAGAAAATGAACCTCAAAGCTTTAAGGAAGCAATGAAAGGTCCTGAAGTACCTTTATGGAAAGAGGCTATTAATAATAAAATTGAATCCATTATGCAAAATCATAGTTAGAAATTGGTGGATCTTCCACTTGGTTCTAAACCTCTTGGATATAAATGGATATTCAAGAGAAAAATGAAAGCAAATGGTTCAATAGACAAGTATAAAGCAAGACTTGTGATAAAAGGTTACAGACAAAAGGAAAGTCTAGACTATTTTGACAAATATTTCCATGTAATAAGAATAACATCTATCTGCATGCTTATTGCTATAGTAGCATTGCACAATTTAGAAATACATCAAATGAATGTTAACACAACTTTCTTAAACGGTGATCTAAATGAAGAGATCTATATAGAGCAACCCAAAGGGGTTGTAATGTTGGGGCAAGAAAAGAAAGTTTGTCGGCTTGTAAAATCTCTTTATGGATTAAAACAAGCTTCTAAGCAATGGCATGAAAAATTTGATCTTGCTATGTTTACTAATGGGTTTAAGATAAACGAATGTGACAAGTGCGTCTATGTTAAAAACACTGATCAAGGTATGTCATAGTTTGTCTTTATGTGGATAACATGCTTATCATTGGAAGTAGTCAAAACATAATCAAATCAACTAAGCAAATGCTGAACAAAAGATTTGATATGAAAGATATGGGAGTCACAAATGTAATATTAGGAATGAAAATTACTAAAACATCTAATGGATATGCATTATCTCAATCACGTTATATTAAGAAAATTCTTGGTAAATTTATCAAGGATGATATGAGTATAGCTAGAACACCTGTAGACAACAATCTTTATTTATCGAAAAAAAGGTGATGCGGTGCCTCAGTTAAAATACTCCTAAATCATTAGAAGCCTAATGTACCTAATGAATTGTACTCGTCCTAATATAGCTTATGCTGTCAGTAAATTGGGTAGGTACACTAATAACCCCGGAGAAGACCATTGGAAAGCAATCATTCGGGTTCTTAGATATCTAAGGTTTACCCATGATCATGGTTTGAACTTTACGCGATATCCTGCAGTACTAGAAGGTTATTGTGATGCCAATTAGATATCGGATATTAAAGATTCAAAATTCACTAGTGGATATGTCTTTACTCTGGGTAGCGCTGCTGTTTCTTGGAAGTCCACAAAACAAACATGCATCACATGATCCACTATGGAATCTGAGTTCATTGCTTTAGACAAAACAAAAGAAGATGCAGAATGGCTTCGCCACTTCTTAGAAGACATTCCAATGTGGCCAAAACCTGTGCTAGCTATTTGCATTCATTGTGATAGTCAATCTATAATAGGTAGGGCACATAATCATATATATAATGGTAAGTCATGACATATTCATCGTCGACATAATACCGTAAGGAAATTTCTCTCAAATGGAATAATCTTAATAGATTATATAAAATTTAAAGAGAATATTGCGAATCTGTTAACAAAAGATTTGACAAAAAAACAAGTGTATAGTTTATCGAAGGGGATGAGATTAAAGTCTATTACATAAGAGTCATTATAATGGTAATCCTACTTCTATGACTGGAGATCTCAAGAACTAAGTTCAAAGGGATAACTAAGTTATGTGTCGCTCACCAAAAATCACCAAAGGATTAAAATTCCTTACCCATTCCTATGGTGAAAGTGACATCTGCAATATGTATTGTATGTAGGATTTTAAGGATAAGCCTTACTTTTAATAATTACTTATATCTTGATTTAGGCATGAAAAATCAAAACGAGTATAAGGAGATACTCATAATAAGAATCACCTATATGAATGTCAAACTAGGACCGGTTCTATAAGAATGAAGAGGCTAAATTCTCTAGAAAGCATTCATGAACAACCAGCAGCGTTCAAGGCCAAAATGAGCACAACCGTGAGAATCACGATGTGTCAGAAGATATTTTGTAAGAAACCTATTGTCTTGGTTTACACAAACGGCTGAATAATTCAAGGCATCGCGTCCATTGGTTAGCTAGTAAGTCCGATAGGTTATCACTAAGGAAGGTTCAAGGCCGAAAACTACCTATCCTGATACAAGATATTTCGATTTATACTCTTTCGTCAAATTCTGCATATTGTTGCATTTCCGTTGTCATCAAATTCTATTCATATGGGGGATTGTAAGAAATGGTTTTGAAAAATATGATTTTTCCTTAACGTAGTCTATTTTTTAGGTGGGATCCATACGCCAAAGTTGGCGGATCTAAGTAGTAACGCGTTCTATGCCGCTTTGTGATTCACGTGGTATATTTGGTTGCTCAAAACCATTATTGGGTGAATGGGAAATTGAAGCCAAAGAAAATTCCATGGAAATTGTGTTTTTGGTGAAATTTCCTAAAAGGTTTGGTTTAAGACTTGTCCCACATTGATTTAGTAGGCAAACTTTGAGTGGGCTTATAAGGCTTGAGTTTGGAACTTGGGGTAGGCCCCAAGGGGCATCCAAGTTTTGTAGAGGGGGGAGGTTATGGGCAAAGTGGGCTAGACTCATTAAACCCAAAATAAACACACACGCGCACTACCGCCGCCGTCCGTCCGGGCAGAAAGGCTTGGGCGCGGGTTCGTGGTGTAAGGTTGAGTTGGACTTGTCCGGCCCAATACCTATCTTTTTGAGCAAAAAACATTTGAATTTAATTTTTATTTTTTGGTAAAATAAAATCTATCCAGAATTCGAAATTAATTCTGAAATCTGTCTAGTTTTCCCTCCACCCAAACAGGTCTATATCTGGCCAATATAAATCGGACAGATTCAAATCGGTTTAAATTTCAAACCCAAACAGTTCGTATCTATTGAAACAGTGCCTTACCTGTTCAAATTCAAACCATACATATTGGATTCAAATCTGTACAATCACCTTTACATCTATAAATAGGTGCTTTTTTCACTTAATTTTCATCCCAAATTCTTCCTGCTCTCTCTGCATTTTGCTGCATTAATTTTCTGTGAAAAAGAGTGTAAACATAAAATGTGTTCGTTGTGTGAATAATTTGTAGTGTTGTTGTTATTCGTAGTTGATCATTTTATCCTGGGAGATAGACGTCTACAATCTGAAAGCACCATGGAGAGAACGAATCTGTCTTAAGGACATAGTGTTAAACACTGGACTTGATCAAAATTTTATTCAATAAATACATAAGGTTAGTAATTAATTTACTTTCTATTTTATTATTTTTCTGTTTCAGATTTTGATTTTGTTTTGTAACAAAATAAAATTTTGTTTTTATTTATATATTTATTTTTTATATTCTGGTTTGATTTTTGTAATCAAATAATCTTTTTACTTTTTTTATTTATTATGTTTGTTGTTAAGTATACAAACATAATTTATTCGTAATACAACGAAGATTGTCCCACATGAAGTAGTTCAAATGAAAGCTAATTTCAGTCTCAAATGGTAGTAATCGCAACTAGTTGCTGCTTCATTAGTAAATGATCACAATTCAAATGAAAGAATAAGAAATTGAGTGAGAAAGAAAGTGAAATAGTGACTAAAAGTGGAGGAGAAATAGTGGTGTGGAGTAAGAAAGAAACAAGTTTAAGCAAAGTTTGAGAGAATATCTAATTTAAATATACTCAATATTTCTATTTAAGAAAAAAAATTTCTAGTAGATATTTGATGAACATATAAGTAGAATGATGAAATGGGATTCATGTGGCCAACTCTACTTAATTAGAACACAAAACATAATTTGATTTGATTTGATTTGATTTCGTAAATGTTTAATAAAGAGATTGTAAAAGTTGTGAGTAAGAGGAAAAAGGAGAATGTATAGAAAACAAAATAAAATTACCATTTTACGTTAGTGTTTCAGTTGGTTGAGTAACGAAGGGGGAAATTGTAACGTGATTCTAAACCTAGTTGAAAGGATTATAATTTTGAGAAATCAGGGGTACTAATGTTATAAGAGCAAACTTCAGGGGAGTCAAATGCAATTTATCCTTGAAACCCCTCATTGGTATGATTGCCCTAAAACCCCTCATCACCCCCTTCCCCAACAACACCCTGCGGTCCGTACAATCGAAAACCCTAACTCAGAACTTCCATGTCCAAACCAAAGATTCAACCTTTTCACTGAAACTGAACCATACGGGTACGGCCATATCACTGTGTGTCTGTCTGTGAAGTTGTTTGCCGCAAGCTTCGGTGTCTATGCTATTGAAACAGACTATCTACGGTCAGTTTCATACTCTTTCCAGCTTTGTACATGCTTTCTTTCTATGTAAGTAGCTATTTCTTAATAATTTTGATTATACCCCCAATTTTGCACTCGAATCTTGTTTTTGTTAGTTTGATTATTGTCATTTGATTCATAAACGAAACTAAAACAAGTAATAAAGATTTAGGATGGAGTTCGAACCATTGGGCATAGGAAACGATGTGATTGAATTCGATATGATGGGGCTCGGTGAAAACCCTGTCGAAATCCACCACCCCATTGACGGTGATGATGATGACCGCTTCCTTGAAAATTCTTATGGCAGTGGTGGTGGTGGCGCTGCTGAGCTTTATATTCCTGAAGGGGACACGAATCTTGAACCCTATGAGGGTATGGAATTTGAGTCAGAGGAGGCTGCCAAGGCCTTTTATAATTCATATGCCCGCCGGGTTGGGTTCAGCACCCGTGTCAGCATGTCTAGGAGGTCCAGGCGTGACGGTGCCATCATCCAGAGATCGTTCGTGTGTGCCAAAGAGGGGTTTCGTGTTGAAAAAGAGAAGCCCAGGCGTGACACTGCAAAGGTCAAGCGACCCCGTGCTGAGACTAGGGTTGGTTGTAAAGCCATGTTGGTTGTCAAGATTCAGGATTCTGGGAGGTGGGTTGTTTCTGGATTTGTGAAAGAGCATAACCATGAGCTTGTCCCACCTGACAAGGTTCATTGCCTCCGCTCTCACCGACACGTGTCTGGCTCTGCAAAGTCTCTGATTGATACTCTTCAGGGAGCTGGTATTGGTCCTAGTGGTATTATGTCTGCTCTGATTAGGGAATATGGTGGAATTAGCAATGTTGGATTCACGGAACGCGATTGTAGGAACTACATGAGAAGTAGTAGGCAAAGGACTCTTGGAGGAGACACCCAACTCCTCTTGGACTACTTAAGGCAGAAGCAGTCTGAGAACCCTGCATTTTTTTACGCTGTGCAGGGTGATGAGGATCAGTGTATGAGTAATATCTTCTGGGCTGACCCGAAAGCAAGAGCCAACTATACCTATTTTGGTGACACTGTTACATTTGACACCACTTATAGGTCCAACCGGTATCGGTTGCCTTTTGCTCCTTTTACCGGAGTTAACCATCATGGACATCCTGTGTTGTTTGGCTCTGCTCTCTTGATAAATGAATCTGAGGCATCGTTTGTCTGGCTATTTAGAACATGGCTTGAGGCAATGTCTGGCCGACCTCCAGTCTCAATCACCACTGACCACGATAGGGTGATTCGCTTGGCCATTACGGAGGTTTTTCCTGAGACCCGTCACCGTTTTTGCAAGTGGCACATCTTTAAAGAATGTCAAGAAAAGTTGTCTCACGTGCTTATCGAACATCCAAATTTCGAAGTGGAGCTCCATAAATATGTAGATATGTCTGAATCCATTGAAGAGTTTGAATCTTGTTGGTTGTCCCTTATTGATAGATATGACCTTCAGGAACATGAGTGGCTTCAAACTATTTATGCTGATCGCTGGCAGTGGGTTCCAGTATACTTGAGGGACACATTCTTTGCAGAAATGTCTATCACACAACGTAGCGATAGTATGAATTCATATTTTGATGGATATGTAAATGCCTCAACGACTCTACAGCTGTTTGTTAAACAGTACGAGAAGGCACTGGAGAGTCGCTACGAGAAAGAAGTTAAAGCAGATTATGATACAATGAACACAGCCCCGATATTGAAGACCCCATCTCCAATGGAGAAACAGGCGGCTGAGGCTTACACAAGGAAACTGTTCATAAAGTTTCAAGAGGAGCTGGTTGAGACACTCACTTTCTTGGCAACCAAGGTTGAGGAAGAGGAGGCAACCACCACTTACCGAGTTGCTAAATTTGGAGAAAATCATAAAGCCTACTTTGTCAAATCCGATGTGCGAGAGATGAAAGCAAGTTGTAGCTGCCAAATGTTTGAATTCTCTGGCCTTTTATGTAGACATACATTGACAGTCTTTAGGGTGACAAATGTTCTTACTCTGCCATCTCACTATATTTTAAAACGATGGACAAGAAATGCCAAGAGTGGTGTAATGTTGGAGGAACGTTCTAGTGATTTGCTGAATGGTTCTCAAGAATCTCCTACGGTCAGATACAACAATCTTCGTTGTGAGGCTCTCAAGTTTGTAGATGAAGGTGTGAAGACTATCGAAATTTTCAATGTGGCAACGGATGCTCTAAAGGAAGCTGCAAATAAAGTTGCTTTTGCTAAAAAGAATGATGGAAGGGTTACTAGTGTGAATGGAACTAGCAGAGAAGATTGTCTCACCCATAGAAATCATGCAAATGATACTTGTGGGGCTCATCAATGGGGTTCAGAACAACCTCAATCTGAGGTGAGTGGTTTTATCTAAAGTTTAATCAGTTGCTTTGTTCTTTTTTGTTGACATTTATCGGTACAATCTCTGACCTTATTTATCCAAAAATATATCTCTATATATATATATATCAGGGCTTATTTTTTCCGTTCTTTGTTTGGTTTTACTCATATCTGATATGCATTTGGATTTTTACATTTTCCTTAAATTTAGTGAAACCCCTCCATACTATAACAGTTCAATAGTACCGTTTTGTTAAGATGTTCTTTGGTGCATGCATAGCTTAGCTCACAATATCAACAACATTCAGTGTGTTTGGTTTGAGTTTTCTGAATTAAGTTTTTTGAAAACTGAGTTTTTTGATTTTCGTATTCTTTTGTTTTTAGTGAATATTTTTTAAATTTTAAACATTTTTTTTACTTTTTTAGATGCGCCTTAGTTACATGTATCTAAAAAGTGAAAAATTTGTGAAAAAATATTTTAAAAAATTAATAAATACATAAAAATACAAAAAATGTACTAAATTCTTGTATTTTTTTTGTATTTTTGGTATTTAGTGAATTTTTAAAAGTTTTTTTTTACAAATTTTTTACTTTTTAGGTGTATTTATGTTAGGTGTGTCTAAAAAGTAAAAAAATTGTTTAAAATATTAAAAAAATTCAGTAAAAACAAAAAAAACACGGAAAATAAGAAAGTAGACTTTTCTGAAAAGAGTTTTTTGAAAACTCAAACCAAGCATGGTGATTAGCATTGTAGCAATATTAGGAAGAGTGATGAAGAGATAAGTCAGTTGTCCAATGAGTTATTGTCGAACACCATTCAGAACTACTGCAGACTTATGAAACTCATTTGATATATTTGGAAAGCCCTATTAGAATCTTAAACAACCATTCTGTCATAGTTCAAGTCTGAACAAGTAATAATAGTTACATCAAACCAAGGCTACCCTAGAACTCCTATCAATGCTCTCTAGATTTTTTCACAGCTAATGACGTAGTCAGCTCATCAATTCGACCTCCATTTGCCGGTTTATCTCAGCATTGTACTCATGGATCTGACATCAGTGCCATGCTGTATTGCCTTTGTTGCCCGACAACCATCTTACTTGCATTGATATCAAGTTGGTTTCGTGAATGTATTACCATGACTGCAAATAAGGGAGAGAAAAGTGAAGAAAAATGCTTCGTGCTTGCTTTGAACTAGAATGAATAAGTTGAACTAAGAGCTTAGGATTTAGCGTAATGACAATTTCTTGTTTAGAGACAACCTTAATTTTTAATTGGCATTTCTTGAATAGCTAACTGGTGGCTGAAGACCATTAGGGAGGCTGAAGAGCTATAAGTTCGGTTTTATTGGAACTTCATATGCTGTTTTTTTAGTCTTCGGTATATTTCAAAAAGTTCCATTTCATTCTAGGGCATGAGAATCTTTCATTTATTTGATATGTTTCAGTAAAGGCCGAAAAGTTCCATTTAGGGCATGAGAATCTTTCATTTATTTTATTTGATATGTTTCAGTAAAGGCCGAAAAGTTCCATTTAGGGCATGAGAATCTTTCATTTATTTGATATGTTTCAGTAAAGGCCGAAAAAATAAAATGGTAAAGTGATGAATCAAAGTCATCAAATAAGAACCTAGACTTCTGTAACAGACACTTCAACTTGTAATTCTCTAGTCTGCCCATTGGTTTATGGATTATCCATGGATGACGAAAATTCAGCAGTCTCTATTTCCTCCCGTGTTTGTCATCCCTGCATCAGGCTTCCTAAAGCGAAAAGGTTTGTTGGAGGAGCACTAGTTGTGTGATATATATAGATATGTTGGATGCATCGAATCGCCTTCACATTCTGCTGTTACATATTTGGGGTGCTCTTACATATTTGGGGTGATGTGAGTGCTGAGTTGTATTTAAGAGATTAAACATGCTACTGTTTAGATCTTTTTTTTTTTCTTGGGCAAAATCTATTTTACCTCTTTTAGTTTGCCCCTTTAGCATTAAACCTCCCTTACTTTTTGAGTATAGTGGGATCAGCTCCATATGGTTTGAGACTAAAGTGCAATCTAACTCTGTTACATTAGTTGTAAAAAGTTGTTTAACAGCCAATCAATTTTTGCACCAGCACCAATACTGCACCATCACCTCTCTCTCTCTCTCTCTCTCTCAAACCTATCAAACGTTGCATGTGAAAAAAAATCCATCATAACCCATAAGATCATTTACAACTCCATCCACCATCATGTACCGGCCAAAATATCCAACTCCAATCAACATGACATACCCACCGTATATAACCATTTAGTACAGACATACCCATTTTATTGAGACCCAATTGCCCATCAAAATGGTAGATGCAGGCTAAAATCATATACATTTTAGGCCATGTAGGTGTTCAATATATATAATGCAAGAATAGACTCCACACCAGGTGATCAATGGTGTTCAAGGACTGTTTGCTTATGAGCTTCTTGATAATCACTGCAACTACACGCCATTGCTAATTTGATCGATACGGATTTTTTTTATATTTATTTTTGTTGTTAATTATATGTACTTTTGGAAATGGTAATGGTCATTTGATATCGTCTTGGGGACTATCAAATGATCTTTTAATGGTGGGTCTTATGATGGATTATGTCTTGTTATTGTTTGACCATTTTACTAAACCAATGTATTGAACATTTTTTATTTTATTTTTTTGTAGGACGAGCAGGACAGGAAAATACAGAAACTGACGCAACAGCTTGAACGTGCACGTCGAAAATGTGGACTATATCGGGCCAACTTACTTTCTGTTTTGAAAGATATTGAGCAGCAGAAGTTACAGTTGACAGTTAAAGTTCAAAGTATTAAGCTAGGTATGAAAGACCAATAACATATAGATTGAACACAGTTGTCTCTCTCTCTCTCTCTCTCTATATATATATATTTATAAAACTTCAGGGAAGTTGTGAGAGCATCTTGTACTCACTAGCAACTGTAGGAATTGAATACATGAAAATACTTATTTCAGCAAAAGGGCTTGTGAACCGATCATTGATTTATTCGACAGACCTGAGTAAACAACTCCAGAACTTCCACCATTTAAACAAGGAAGAGAGGCCTCTGATTATTGTAGGAGCTGCTTGTGTAGAAGCTTTTGTCCTGTGCTTGTGTTTAAGATCAAGTTTAGGTGGGAAATTGATTGCTGTTAAGAGTTAGTCACAGGAAACAGGATGACACGTATATTAGGAAAAGGTCCACAATCAACCTTATTTTCTTGTGTATTGGTGAGTCAGATGGATTATAGATGTTTAATGATTTAGACAAAATTACCAGGTGCAAGTGAAGTTGAGAAAAAGCTTTGTAGAAATCGGTTCCTTGCATTTTCCTTCCCTTTTTCTTTTTTGCTCACATTTTTTTTTTTTTGATTTTTAATTTTTATATTTTTGCTTTCACAAATTCTTCTCAAGTTTTAAATTCAAATATAGGTTAATGACCTTAAGGATCCAAAAAATTAGGGGTGTTCGCGGATCGGTTTTGTGCGGTTTGCGGTTTGGTTTTGACCCGCCCGCATCTATGCGGTTTAGAAAAAAGTCAACCCGCAACCGCCCGCAGTGCGGTTTGCGGTTTGCGCGGATAGGGTTTGTAAATGTGCGGGCGGTTTGCGGTTTACACTTTTTTCTTTAAAAATTAATTTTTAAGTATTTTTTTTTTCCCATCGAATTTAAGCATTAGATTCATTTTATATATTTGTGATCATTTGATAACTATTTTCTGATGAGTTTACAAATAAAAATTGAATATCACTAGCATTTTTGTCATGAAAAAAATGTATATCAATGCATTAAAGGTTGTACTCAATTAGAATTGTTAATTCAGTAATTAATAATCAAACTAGAAGCTTCATCGATCACCAGAAGAAAAATTTTATTAGGAAAAAGTGGATGAGTCATCAATGAAAATCATATAAGAAACCAAGTTTAGGACTTAATAATTCTACGATATTAAGAAAGTTGAGAAATATTTAAAAATAAGGATCCTAGTGTCATAGAGAACAAAATGGTGCTCCTGTTAAAGTTACAAAGTTGGTATATAAAAAATAATAATAATAATACTAATTAAAGTGCGGGCGGTTTTTGCGGGTTGCGGTTTTAACCCGCGATCCGCCCGCAACCCGCAAATTTGTTATATTTTAAACCGCATCTGCCCGCATTATGTTTGCGAAACCGTCCATTTATATGCGGGTTGGGCGGGTTGGACGGTTTGAGCGGTTTGGATAAACCGTTGCCCACCCTTACAAAAAATAAATATTTAGGACATTTTTTTAATCATGTTTTGTTTATTATTTGATGTACACCTACAATAAGTAATACAATATATTCTAGATGAATTTGAACCACTACAAATGTGAAACATTAGGTGATAAACACAACTTCATAGAATAACCCAATGTTTTCAAACCTGGACCGGCCTGGCCGGTTGGACTGGTTGATTCGGTGACCGGATTTAGTTTTGGTCTAGATGACTCACCAAACCCAGACTATGCTCAAAATCGGTTTAGAATTTGAAAATCGAAAGAATCTCTGGTTCAATCGGAATAACCAGTCACGGGTCAACATAAAAACTAGTCGGGTTTGAAGAATAAAAGTTTCTTCTAAAAATATGTTGCGGAGTGGGTTTGAATATGGAATCAAGTGCATAAAAATCAAGCATCCAAACCATTAAGTCATCAACACAATTATTGACAATGTAATAAGTATATAGACTATATATTCAATATTATCTTAATTATTTTTATTAAAAATCAATGTATAAAAAACGTAAAATAAATTTTAAGAAATATATTTTTTTTGTAAATGTTTATTATTTATTAATTTTTGTAATTTTAATATCTAGATTTTTTTATACTTATAAATTTTAATATATTTATGACATCACGGTTCAATTTCGGTTCACCCACGGTTGAATATTCATCCGGTTACTTTTCCGATTCGTTCACCGGTCTGATTTTCAAAACATTGGTATAAACTCTATTGAACAATTAGGGATTTGGTGATAGAGCCCTTACTGTTTAGATTCTTTCAAAAAGACAAGAATTATATAGATTCTTTCAAAATTTTCTAATATTTTAAAACTTGTTTATTTTACTATACGACGCTCATATATATATATATATATATATCAGCTCTTCTATAAAGTCATCCTCATAATGTATTTTAGAGTAAAATTTAACTCTGAATCAGAGTAAAATTTATTATGATTCAAAATAATTTTTATATCGTTAAGCACATATATTGCCTTAGAGGTAAAATTTTATTCTCATTTTATCAAATAAAAATAGAGCACATATCAGAGTAAAATTTACTCTTATTCTGTCAAACAAAACATAATATATACCAGAGTAAAATTTTACTCTCATTCTGTCAATCAAAAATAGACATACCAGAGAAAAAAAAAAAAAAGAACAGAAATATAGAGATAGAGAGAGCACATATATTGCCTTAGATCTGGTTCAAACCAGAGTAAAATTTTATTATTTGAAAAACAAAGCATGATAAGGAGACAAAGAGAAAAAGAGAGAGAGAATATAGACCTGAGATGATAGATCTCAAATCTGAGGTCATCAATCTCAGATTTGAAGTCTTGGACACTAAGGATGACGATGGTGGCATTGAATGGCTGGTGGTTGAGATGTTAGTGGTGAAATGGTGGTGACGGTGGCGGTGACGAACAATATCGATGGTTGAGACGGTGTTGGTGGAGATGATGGAGGTGGTGGAAACGATGGTAGTCGTGGTAGTAGAGATGGTGATGGTGTAGACGGTGGTGGTGGTGGTGGTGGTGGTGAGAGCTCTTAGAAAGAGAATGTAAATCAAAGGTAAACGTAGCGGATGAAAAATTATGGTCATACATTTTTCTGCAGAGTCTGAATTGAAGGATCTCGTGGATAAATCGCGTGCTTCTTGAATCTGATCAATCAACCCAGCAATAGAGTGATATTACAGAATGAATATCACCCACACAAGTCACAGTGCAAAATGGCTCTTGATCGTTGTATTTTGGGAGAGAGTTAATATATAGGAAAAACATACGACATACGTTGTTTTTCTCTTAATCACCCATATCCCATATTATATCAGATATGTTGGATAATATCTCATCTATCTATATCAGTTGATATGATAGATATGGATATTCCGAGTGATTATCCAAGTAAGTTTTGAATTCAAATTCAAACTTACATGGATAAGGTTTAAAAGGTTCAAAGGGTCATGCCACATGGGCGCTCAATTTCTAACAGAGATAGAGAAAGAAAGAGCTGAGAGAGATGACAAACTGATGAAGAGAAAGCGGAGAAAGATAGGGAATGTGTGAAGGGATAAATTTGTCAGACAAAATATAAATCTAAATTTTTTTGTCTTTTATACAAGACTTTATAATTATAAAAGGATTTTGAAAGTATAATTTTTTTTTTTTTAATCTTTTTAACAAGAAAAAGAAGGTAAAAGGGATTTATGACAAAATTTCTCAAATTGAATGGCCAACTGCGTCTACGAGTCTAGGATTCGAACCATCTTAAGTCATGTTTATTTGCCAATTTAGTTGAATGGAACGGGCTATGATTGCCCCTTAAACTAAAACAAACATGGCCTAAAGATAATCACCAAAAGTGTAAACGCCATTATTTTTAACCTCATTCAAGAAAATATGTCTAATAATTGAAAAAGGTCTAATAGCCTCATTCATCATCTCCGCATTGTCATCCATTGATCATTAAGTTTGTTTGACTATTGTAAAAAAGTCACATTTAAATAAAAAAATGTATCTTTAGTTTTGTTTATTATTATTATTTTTAATTTTCTTAAATTGTGTCAAAAAAAATTTCACTTTTCAAGTATTAGTCTATAGGAGGATCTAAAAATAAAAAAAATAGAATTCAAAACGAAATCACTAAAAAAAACTTTTTACTCATATATACTCTCTAAAGAAAAAGAAGTGTCTAGAAAAGAGGCAAAATATGTTCATGATGAAGTTAAATAAATGTTTGACAGGCACTAAAAAACTATATTTTTTTTTACATACATACACTTATTTGAGTAATTAACATCTATCAACATATCCTCTCTACTTTTCTAGTCACTTTCTGTATTTTTTTACACATTTTTTTATATATATAAAATATCAAAAAAATAAACTTATTTAGAACATCCCAAGCCTGTGTGAGGACTGAAAATGCTTCATGTAGTTTGTATAACTGTTTCATATCTTTGTATATGTCTGACCTTGTTCTTCCTCAAAAAAAATAAAATAAATAAATAAATAAATAAAAAGGTTGCAACAAAAGGAATCGGCAAACCCCGACTATATATTGTTTACAATGATGTTCACAGTGAAAGCTTGTGTATAATATGTACAACAAAAGGAATTGGCAAACCCTGACTATATATTGTTTTACAATGATGTTCACAGTGAAAGCTTGTGTATAATATGTACACCAAAGCTCGAAGTAATTGATGAGAATTTTATTTCCCCCATAAATTATCTAAGCAAAACAAAATAAACAAGGAGACTAACACAAAATACAGACACAGAGAGAAGGGAGGGAATGGGGATTTAATGCTGTGGGATGATACAATAAGAGAGAGAGAGAGAGAGAGAGAGAGAGAGAGGGAATGGGGATTTAATGCTGTGGGATGATCAAAGAATTCTCAATTTAAGATCAGCTTGGCCCACCCTTGCTTTGTGCTTCTCAAAAAGGTCTCTAAGTGCTTCAACAAACTGATTCTGTACTTCATACACCTTCAAAACCCACACAATGGAGTGAGCAAAAGAGGAAACAAAGAATGAAAGAAAGAAAGATTAGCCCTCGAAAGGTTTTTCCTAGCTTCCAACCCCATTCGAAATGGCATTGCATTCCAAAAAGTTGGGGAAAAAACAAATACATCAATCCAGATCAAGAATAACATATACAATATGGTTAAGAAGGTATAATGAGCATCAATACCTCTTCAATGGTGGGTTTTGAATTTTGTTTAACTTCAATTGGTCTACCAACCACCACATGCATTGGATGGCGGTAGGGTAACGGAGACCTGCAAGGGAAAGAATCACAAAACAGTTCATAGTTCAAACAGCTCCACAAAACTCTTGCTGAACAGATTCGTTCAAGTACAGATTCAGAAAGTTTCTCTTAGAACAGCACGTGGAAAACAGTAAGAAAATAAAAATTGATTTGAACATACCCAAACATCCCCCAGAAGATAATTGGACTGAATTTAATAGCTCTAGATAACAGTACGTATAGTTCACCTCCAGGCTTCCACCAGTTATATACATGTGACTGCAGCAGAATTGAGAGAGAGAGAGAGAGAGAGAGAGAGAGAGAGATCATCTTTGTCCAAAGCAAGAAAATAGAAAAAGAGTCATAAAAAAAAACATGGACAAAAAGAAAAGGAATTACCTGACCAAAGCAAAAAACAGGAACCAAGGGTCGGCCCATCTCCATAGCTATACGTACGAATCCTCTTCTTGACTTGAGGAAGGCAACCTACAAAAGAGAATAATTTGAAGACTAGGGTGACAGGTCTGCAGCAAAATAAAACAAGGAGGGAAGAAAAAAATCCCTCCCTCACAATCAAGTTGTAACAAAGAACAAGGAAACCATCAGAAGTGGGAGGCAATGTAATCCCTATGAATTATAGATAAACAAGGTCTAGCACGTGGCTCATATTGTAACACTACCAGAAGTTCACTATCTGTATCTTTCACAGTTCAAAAAACAAGGGATGGACAAATTGACTGCCCTTGTGCTCATCTAGCAGAAATGAGTTATAGTTATGATCTAATCTGTTAATAGTCAGAGTTGGCTGGCAATTTGGATGATGATAACTGCTGCTCCAGACCGCACAGCGATGGCAACCCAAAAAGCCTTCGAATAGGCATTGTAAAAGACAAAGTAGTACATGTCTCAAGCGTACATAAATAATTCATAGAGGAAGAAGAGTATCAAGCATTGCATTACACATCACAAAAGACAAGGGTTGTACATGTCTCAATTGCAACATACAGGAATAATTTTCAAGGGAAGGAACTTATCAAGAATTGCATTACCATAAGATGCTCACAATTGTGGGTCCGGTCTACATGAATAATTCTTGGGGTAAGGAAATTATCAGCATTGCATTAACATATGATGCTTGAAATTGTGGTCTGAACCTTAAGAATTTCTAAGGTTGTAGCATATCCTGAGAGGGAGCGAGCGAGAGGGAGTCTATGCATGATCACATTCAGATTCACAAGAAAAGAGAACTGACATTAATTTAACGCAGTATTGTGATTATTTCGCATGTACACGAAGAAAGCCAAGGAGAATATTAAGAAATCAACAGTCCATAAAATTGGTGACCTGTATATCCTCAATCAAGATGCTGTGATGAGATAGAAGTACATATGAAAACAATACTGACAATGAGTTATGAGAATTAAACCTCAGATCCGTGTTCCATATGAATTATCTCTTGCACTCCACCAGGCACTATAATGCAGCTATAACCAGCTGCCAAGAGGGAGGTAAAATTTTTCCTTGATACAGGTGAAAGTCCCAACCAAGTCCATATATGCCTCAGGAATGGTGTGTGGAACACCTGAATTATTATTATTCTTTTATGGTGATTAACACAGTTAATAAGTATAGAAAGATGAAGATGGCTCCATGAACTCAACAAGCTTCAAACATTAAGGGTGGTATTCTTACAGCGCTACTTGCCAGGACCTTAATTTTTGGAAGAGGCAGATAACCTGTGAGGTCAGCAAGTGCAACGACACCAATGGGCAAAACTGAATGCGGCTCATAGCCAAAAACTGCAGCACAAGCTTAATTCATTACTTGGGCAACATAAGGAAAAATAAACAAGAGTCATCAGGAAAAAAGTGAAGTCAAAGCTCTCCCTAGAGCCTGCCACTTCAAGTCGAGTAGCCAAAAAAAAAAAACTCTCATCTGTAAGTTCTTAATTCTCATAACACAAATTTATGCATACTGCACATTCCTATTACAACAACTAGAACGGATTTATCAAGATATAGGGCAACGTAGTACAACAAAATAACAGAATGTAAAATATAAAATATAATTTCATCAAGTCGCTTGCTTGCTAGATTGGAAGTACTTAGCCAGGGAGAATCAAGATCAGGCCAAGGTTAGAGAAACTTGCTCTTTCTACATAAGACCCTGTATTGCTCTTTTAATCGGCCTTTCCTTTCACATCTTTTCCACCACATAAGAGGGTAACGCTTTAAATTATAGATGTCTCACTTAGTGTGTATCTGACTAGGGAAACTCAGAAAAATAGGATCTATGACCAATAATTTTGTATATTTCGTTTTTTAATTTTTTATCACTCATGTATCATTTCAGAAGGCGCCAAAAGGCACACAACCTGTGCACATAGGATGTACGTTAAACGAAATTAAAGCCCATCAACAAAACCAATCTCTATTATAAAATCAATTACAGCAAAAGAAGACTCACAAGATTTCATTGAAAGCAAAAAATTAAGTTTGAAGCAAAGATGCTTTCAGTTTATGAAGGCACATCTGTACATCATCAAAATTGTGCCAGCTTCACTTCCTCCAAATGCACAAGGTTAAACACAATGGGGCCACAAGTACAAAAGTCAGAGAGGTTATTTGCAAATTCCAGAAATCTAAAACACAAGAGATTTTTTATAACACAGTCATTGGCACTTAACATCACCATACTACCTTATCCTCACCTCCACTAAGCAACAACTCTGTCATCTTCAATTGTTCCCCTCCATGTTCACCATTACAACCATTGACATCTCGACATTCGAAACCATGTTGAAAATGTTATTACCGACACCAGCACCTCGATGTCACTTTTAACGTCACATATCATCACCCAAACCCAAAGCCAACCCCCAATTACTAACACCACTTCGAATAATACAACACCAGGACCATCACCTAAGGCAACTCATTGTTACCACCACTTTAGTTCCACCTAAATTGACGAAATCACACCCATAAATACTACATACAGGAGAAAAAAAGGAGGGTAGAGAGAAGGGTAGTTCTTTGATTAAAGAAGAAAGCATATGGATGGTGATTGACATTAAACGGAAAGGCTTTGAGATTCATCCATGCAACAGAGTAATTCTCCCTCAATGGGGAAGCATAAAAGCCATGAAAGCTTTCGCTTAAAGCATAAAGTTACTGTTCAGAAACCTGCCAAGATCCAGTCTATTAGTAGTTCAAGGTCAGTTTGATGCTTTAAAGCACAAACTAACGCTCGACTTCTAATTGTTTAGCTGGTAAAACAAGCTTTAACAATCACATAAAAAAACAAAACTGAGCTGTTCACAAAAATTTTTGTATTCTTGTTTATGAGCTATTCACATATGGTATGGCCCAATTCATTTGCAACCATAGTTGAAAACAAGGAATCCATCCTATTTAAAACCGTCATTAGATGATAAAATTCAAAATAAGTATACCAATCACTTCATACAACAACACAGACACAGAACACCACCTTTTAAAAAACACATTGGTACCATTTTTTCTGGCTTTTGAAATCACATACCCCCAATTCCGTGAGTTTGGACAAAGCTCCCAATTTATTTGCTCGGGATTCGTTGAATTTTAATTTTTTTATACCAAAATTTTCATTTTAACAAAAATATTTGTCTCTCTTCAATTAAAAAATTGCAACTTTGTAAGATAAAAAACAACGATAAACCAAGAACAAAAAAAAGTGTTTACCATAGGCCTGATTGGGGTCGAAGGCTGTTATATCCTCAACATGAAGAGTCACTGGGAAATAACCACAAACATGTTTGCATATATACCTGAAAATTCATAAAATTATCATATATCATTATTCTCTAAAAATTCACACTTTTTGTCTGATTCAAATATTGAGAATAAAAACACACTGTCGGTTTCATAGTTCACATAATAGACAACTCAATCTGGAAAAGCTATAGGAGTTCAAAATCGCTAACCTTGCCAATTTACGGCCCCATTTACTTTTCTCGTCAATCGGAATCAACATAAGAACCACAAGCAGCCCCAGTACCCTGAACGATACACAAAGTTACTCTCAATATACACAAATAAATTACATGCATAGCATATATATACATATTCATGTCTCTTTAGGCTTCTTTGGATGAATGGATTTCAATTGAATTGGATTTTGAGATTAATAAATTTTATAAAATTATAAACAGAGAGAGAGGGAGAGAGAGAGAGCGAACGCAAAGAATTTGGGAAGAGGGAGGAGGAAGAAAGAAGAGACAACGACGAGGACGTTGAAGTGGATGGCTCCAAGCCATATAACAAGAGCGAGAAGAGTGCCGATTACAGAGCCTTCTGAGCTATGAAACTCCGTCGGCGGCGCCACCGCCGTTGACGGCGGATGTTGGCGGATTCCGTTGGTCTGCACCGCCGTCGTGGCCATCGGAGAATTGGAGGAATCTCTGAATTTCGAAAGCTCCAGAACTTTGAATTCTGACACTACGGCACAAAATATGTGAAATAATTTATAGAGCGAGAGAGATATTGGTGGTGTTTACCAAGTGATTTTGGAGTTAAAATAATTATAAAAAATAAAATAAGTTATTTTAATTTTAATAAATAAAATATTACATTTAATTCATAATTATTATATTATTTTAAAAAAAAAAATTAAAAAATTTAAAAAGTTAAAATATTTTTTTTAAATTAAACTTTTTAACTCAAATTAAAATAATTAAAAAAATAAAAAAATCAATCCACTGTCTAAACGGAGGCATAGTAGGGTGGAGGAAGCAGACAAACGTGTGAGGTTCGTGAGGGGCGAAGAGGAGGAGTACGTTCGAGTGACTTCGAAAATAACGTAGAGCATATTTAAAAGCCAGGTCACTCACTAGTCTGCTCTGCTCGGCTCTATCAGGCTGTAGTTGATGTTGAGAGGAGTTATTAGTCGCTCTCACAACATTGCTCGATTAAAATTTTTAATTTTTAATTTTTAATGAATATTTTTAAAATTTTAAATATTTTTATTTTTATTTTTTTAGATGTATCTTACTTAGATATATTTAAAAAGTAAAAAATTTGTGAAAAAATATTTAAAAAAATTAATAAATACATAAAAATACAAAAATGTATTGAATTCTCATTTTTTTTTTTGTATTTTTAGTATTTAGTGAATTATTAAAAGGTTTTTTCACAATTTTTTTATTTTTATTTTTTAGGTATATTTATGTTAGGTATGTCTAAAAAGTAAAACAAATTGCTTAAAATATTTAAAAAATTCAGTAAAAACAAAAAAAAAATGAAAAACAAGAAAGTAGAATTTTCTGAAAAGTGTTTTTGAAAAAGTGTAACCAAGCAAAGTGAATCTCATCAATTTAAGAAAAATTTAATCAAAACCTCCTTATAATAAAATTTTGGGTGAATTACATTAATGATTTCTATAATTTGGGTTTTGTGTCATTTTAATATCTGACTTTTCAATTGTAACACATTTAACCTTAAATTTTAAATATTGTTTCAAATAAGGACAATTGAAGATGTCATTATTTAATTTCAAGCACAAAGTCGTCAATTGGATAAAATACAAACTAATTTAACAAAAATAAATGTGAAAAATTTATTTTTGAATTTTTAAAAATTATTTATGCCTACTAAAGATAAAATTATGTAAAATTAATAATTTTTTTAGACATTTTTTTACCAAAATAATTTTTATTATGTGTTTGCATGATGATCATGTAATGGGTGATTGTTAGGCTTTTAATGTGTAATCGATATATTTAATATATGAAATGTTTTTAGTTTTGAATTTTTTGACTTAATAGATTGGTTTAATAATGATATCAAAATTGTCGCCATATTTGACTTTTGAAAAAATAGAAACTAATTTAATAAAAATAAAAACAATAACTCATTACATGATCATTATCCAAACACATAATAAAAACTATTTTGGTAAAAAAAATAAATGTCTAAAAAATTTACGTATTAATTTTACATAATTTTATCTTTAATAGGTATGAATAATTTTTAAAAATTCAAAAATACTTTTTTGACATTTATTTTTGTCAAATTAATTTGTATTGAGTGCTTCTATTAGCGCCCTATAAGTTATTTTGGACCTACTAATTTTTAGGTTTTTTTTTTTTACAAGAATAACCTGAAATAAAATTACTACAAAGTACGTCATTAATTTTGGGACACCCCATCTCACAATTAAAGCTACACACCCACTACATCATGAATTAGAGTTTATGAGAGAACCCACCTCCAGTACCGCTCATCCATCCCCAAATCTCACATTTAAAACCTATCTACCCTTAAAACCTTGAAAACCCTTTGGTTGTAATATCTAGGTAGTAACGGTGGAAACCATTTGATTACCTACAAATCTCTGGCAATGATAATGAGTTGAAGTTTTTCTGGCAACAGAGAGGAGTACAACAATAAAAACTTAGAAGAGGTTCATAACTTTGATGTTGTTTTTAACTCAGAGGAGATTGGCCTTATAAAGGTAAGTTTCTTGAAAAAAATGATAAAAATAATAAAATATGTTCGTCATTTTTTCAGGACTGAACTCCCGAACATATGACCGAAATTCGGGAACATAGGCCCGGACATTATTTATTTGTTCAGGAACTGGTAAATGAACATTTATTATTTGTTCCAAAACAGGTAACCGAACATTATTCATAAGTTCAAACATGTTTTACTGAGAAAACTAAACCAATTATTATAATTTTTTTTTTCTGCAAGAGAAGAAATTATTATGAGAAAACTAAGAAATTTGTGCGTGTGTATTGTGCAGGGAGCAAATATCCAGGCAAGCCCGCACTCCTTTCTTCCAAGCTCCGTTTCTATCCGATCACCTGCATGCACAACAGCAATGAGCTACCCGGCGGTGTGTAGCCGGAAAACCCCTCCGACGATCAAGTTAGCACACACCTGAGGATAGAGAGAATGAGGAGAGAGTCAAATGTAAGTATTTCTTTTACCAAATGTTCATGTCTCCAGCATGGGGCGCGCAGACTTGCTTATATACCTTCTGCGCCCCAAATCTACTCCCAGTGATCTCTCGACACGTGGTTCTGCTACCCCATCTGTCAGCACAAATCTTGCTGAACATCACCTAACCCGACTGCCAGCCCACTTTTCTGGGAGCTCGGCAGCCGGGCTGCAGCATCTCGGCTGTCAACGGCCATGCTGCGATTCATGCCCAAGTGCCCCAAACAACCGAGCTCCTTTCTAACCATGCTCGACTACGTTCCGGCGAAGCCAAGCTTGAGATTAGTCATACCGGTCAACCAAAATCCTTCATGCCGATCTTCAGGCATGGGCCTTCACGCCGAGCTATGGATGCGTGCTTCCCAACCGCGCAACGCATAAACCGTGGAACCCTTACTTGATCGGCCTCCGTGCCGACAAGGCGAAGTAGCTCGGTTCCACATGCCCTTGCCATTGCCGAGCAAAAATCACTTCTAGGTGGACCTGGGATACCACGGCCCAAATGTGTTCGGCCCACAATTTGCCTGGTATTACCATGGCCTAATCCAGACCATATTTTGCCCTCTCAATTGTCCCTTAATTTCGTCCGCCATAGCGTGACCGGGATTACCTATTCCAACCGGGATAAACTCTTCCTCGGTGGATAATTTGCAAGAGGCAAACCGGGCTAATACCGCGCTCGGTTCCTTGTCTTGCTCGGTCGACGCTTCGTCTGACCTTCCTGACTTTTCAACTCTGACACTGCCATTAATGGGGTTACGTGTCAATCTTCCATTGGTCCTCAAGCAGCCAACCCAGCCGTCCCCTGAAATTTGAATTTGGGCGGTTTTTCTTCCTCAATAAACATGCCCCCTCCATCTTTGATTCATTCTCACTGACATTCCTCCGTTTCAAGCGTCTCTGAGCTCTTGCCATTTCTCTCTCGCCATCCCTGTACTCGTGTTCGAAGAAGGAGCATCTGCCTTTCACTAGTAAGTCCCCCAGCCCTTGTTATTACTGTTTTCATTTCGTATTTTTTTCTTTATAGCACCAAATCCGTAGGTTTTAGGGCCTCCCCCACCCAAAACCTTCAATGCCCCTTAGTTTCTTCGCTGTTCTTCAATTTCCCTGATGAACAATGAAGATTTGGGGCGGACCGGGCTCCAGATCTTCATCCGATCCAAAAAATCACTCAGACCGAGCAAATCTTTAGTTTGTCCCAACCTTAGGAGAAACCGGGGTAGCAAAAAGGACTTAGCCGCTCGACCGGGCTAATCTCTGGTTCGCTTGGGCGACCGAGCTCCTTGGCTAACCTTAACAACCGAGGTGGTTTGGCACAATCCATGACCGAGCTCAAGTCTAGCTCGTTTTGCGCGACCGCGCTCTCACTTACGATTACCCTCCATTTTCCTACAGAGTCCAAGGGGACCAAAGACCAATTCTGAGGCTCTCAAGGACCGAGCAGCCATTAATTCCCAGCCTGTGCCAAACCACCTCAGCCGAGCTAAATTAGTCGGTCATACATGGGGAAATTCCGCTTCCTTGTGGACACACCTGCTGCCTTGGCCGCCTTCAGGGAAGAATACGGTATCCCGGCAGATGTCCATTTGGAGCTCGCCGAGATGGAAACAAACAACCCCTTAGGGTAGGCTTGACCAATGCCCCTTCACCGTGCTGTTAGTAATTGAAGGAGGCCTCCGCTTCCCGGTCAACCCTTTGATGATTGAATTTCTGCGCCGCACCGGGCTAGCACCTACCCAAGTTTTGACCAATACTTACCGAATAATCAATGGCGTACACGAGCTAAACAACCGGCTAGGAACAAACATAGGTTTAGCCGAGATACTACGACAATACACCCTTGGGCACACCGGCGACGGCCTGGCCTATTATTTAAAAATAAGACCGAGCAAAGAGAAAATAGTGACCGACACCTCGGACAAGGACTTACATGATGACGACTTCTTCTGGGTGTCTGGCAATTATGAAACAGCCGACGTACCGGGCTGGTTCATCAACAAGAACTTTGGTTCCACATGTAAGCCGCGCTAATTTTCTCGGTTAATTTCCTGCCTTCAACATTCTGTACTTAACCATTTTTCCTGTTTCTTTTACAGCAATTCAAGCCTTGCAATCCAACTACCAATATCCCAACGTAGAAGCCATCCGGACCGTGCTCCGTTACAGCCACCGGGATTGTAACGAGTTGCTCGGCTACACTCCAACCTACAGATACTCAGCTCTACGCCGGAGCAAAGTTACAGACTTTCTCCGTGCTCCAACACCTCATTCGGACCCAACTCTACCAGACGTGCCGCTAATCCGGCTGATCGAAGAACAAGAGATGGCAAAACGAAGCCGCATCAAGAACCTCCTCACAGCAACCTCAACCGAGATACCAAGCATCACCACCCACTCTTAAGCTGTCGGACAATCCAGCGGCCCCGTGGTCGCCTTGGCATCTCCAGGCGCCGGGCAACCCAGACAAGAAGCTTACCGGGCTGGCAAAAGGCCTTGCACAGACCCATCCGCCGAGCTGGTTGCCGAGCTAACCAC